TTGAAGAACTTCCTCTTTACGCATGTAAAATTTCATTACTGTTCGATGCTAGAAGTAACAGGAAGTTGTTGCTAGAACGTTTTGGAAATAAGTAGAAGATGATGCCTAAGAGCGGCGACAAGAACCCAAATGAATAAGTCTACTTTGGATCGTCGTTGAGTGTATTACATTGTGTAAATAAAGCGTTGTTATAATTTTTAACTATTTGGCGCTTTCAATTTGCAATAAAAAGAAACCGGTTTATTAAAAGGGAAATAAACCAACTTTTTTAAAATTTAAATACAGATTTGAAGCTTACGATTTTTACTTTCTAAAACAGACAACCCTCGTAGCATATGCATTTTTGTCACATAGTTTATCAAACGTTTTGTAAAAATAATGATAAACATGATGCATTACTATTTCTTATGCGAACGATATAATCTGAACCGATATTTATATTAAAATACTCATAAATCAAATGAAAACGAAAACATGTTTATTAATCGTATAACTGCAATTACATTTATGTATTTTCAATGTCTTTGTATGTATATATGGAAAAGTGTTCCTGATCATCAAACATTTAAGTTGAACATAATTTCATTCTTTACACTGTCACATCACATCACGTAAACACTCATGTGTAAGATGAACGTGTATGGAACAGAATGCATTGTCTCACGATGGCATTGATCATGCAGTTCCACAGACGACGGATGGCTCGCTGTTTGGCTGGCTGCTGCATCAGATGGTTAGATGGATGGTTGGCTGACTGGATACTTACATATGTGTAGCAATTATTAACACACACATTCATATAGTTAGGCTTCACCAGATCATAGCAGAACTTTTTATGTGGTTGTTGGTTGATAAATGATGAGTTCTGTGTTGTTGTTCTGTTTCAGTAGATTTTTTGATGATGCTGCCGTTTTACTTTTTATCGTTGTTGTTTAATAATGTAGCCTGATAATGATAAATGTTGGAAGTGGGTATTTATTTAGCGTATGTGTAAGTGGGTTTTTGTATCCAACTGAAGGGATCAACCGCTTTAGAATCTTGAATAAAAAGTAAACGTGCGTGTTTGGTTATTTTCAATCTTTCTTTTCTTCTTAAAGCTGCCCTTTTTGTTCTATATACATTAGGGAGTTTTAATATTTTTTATTATGGGCATTTTAATCCCAGTTGCATACGTGTCCCTAGTATTCCTAGGCCTGTGTCGGTCCTATTTATTTTATAGTATTTTAATTTATTCGTAAAATAGTAAATGTTCATTTATAACATATATTTTCATATATATCTGATTTATATAGCTACCTCAATATACCCCAGAAATCTTACTTTTAAGGCCATTATGCCAAAAACACACGATATATTCGGTAACCCTGTTGATAATACATATTGAACTTTTTTGCCCAAGTTAAATTCTCTAGACAAATATTTTTGTTTCTTTTCCGATGATTTTTTCCTTCGAAAAGCGAGCAGAACTCAAAAAAACACCATTGCAACATCAGAATGTGTTCGGTTTTCTGTTGTAGTTGCTTATAAAGTTGTTGTTACTATTGTTATTATTGTTGTTCTATCTGTTGTTGTAGTGGTTACACTTGGCGAACAATGTGTCGTTTTTATATCTGGTTTTCCATCAACATGTTTAGTGTGATCAGTGAAATCATTCAATCTGAAGAAGTTACAAAAAATTCACTTATTTCAACGAGAATCATTTAGAAAAAGGTAGATACAAAGAAACTGATGTAATACTTCTCGATAAATAAACTCATACACATACAATTCGATTATCCCATCATTTATACAAACCCTGCAGTTTGGGGCGATCTAGCTTTTAACATTACTCCACCGACTACTTGGTCACTGACTGTCATTTTCGGATGCATTGAATCTTGTGTAACCAAATGGATGGTTCCAATTAGTTTTTCGTCACAAATGTACTCTTTGGAAACTAGATTGAAGACAATATCCAGACACCTTAGTGTCCTAAAGCGATGATTATTGATTTCCTCCTAGAACAAGCACATAGTTAAGGGTTGTTCCCGTGAACTGCTGGGATATTTTTTCTTCCTCTTAATCATTTTCATCTCGTTTGTCCACATCAGTGTTTTTTGTTGTACTTCTCATTTATGGTTCAAAGTTCTTGTTGAAAATTTTAATTGCTAGATTTTTTTATTGCGGAACTTCTTCCAATACACTAGGGTCTTTCACAGTGTAAACTTTTAATTGACTAGTCTTTTACAATAAGAGTTCATTGCAAACTTGAGTATCACTTGTAAAAATTAATATCCATCTAATTAAATTGTTCTCCCCATAACAGATTTGGGACTTTTCATGCCAAGTGACCTAACTTTTGAAACCGATTTTGCTAAAAACAATAGGTATAAATAGGTTTAAAAACATAGATAAGAAGAAGAAGAAGTACATGTTTGGTAAAAATTTTAAAATTTTACCCTCTGTGCTCCACTGTATATTGTCTTAAGTATCTTAAACTTCATAAAATCGTATATACAGTTTTGAAATCAACAATTAATTTCAGTTAAATCAGAAATAATAAATTCACTAATAATGCTTTTAAGATTTTAAACTCATCTTGATAAGGTTTGAGAATTTTAAATTAATTAGAACAACACCTTTTATTAAAATGAAAAAGTAGCATGCAAATTGTTAATAAATCAATATTTTTGAAGACTTAATAGCCAGTCATTAAATTATGTTTTAACACAGATTCCATCAAAAGAATGTATACCCAGCAAAAACTTTAATTACAAATTAATGGTTTAAAAAACTAATACCCCATTAGCATTTTAAGTCATTACTTACATTTTACATACATTTTATATGTAACATGTTATAGTCAATGTTGGAGGGTTTTATATACTCTCTTTGAAAATCTGATGTTTTCAAGTACCACAAAAAATTTTTAAGCTATTGAAAAATTAACTTTCTATGAAAATTATACTTGTTGTCTAATATTCAATTATGTATTTTTGCAAAAGTTTCAAATATTGACCGACCTTTATCTGCTGGATTACTTTGGGTTAAAAAAATACATTTTGGGAACTTTAAACAAATATACTCTACACCACTATAGTGGAGACAATATTATGCATTTGTGCTAATGTTTGTAACAAAAATATTGGTCCTACACCCACCTTATACCATCATCTCAGAATCACTTTCTGAGTCGAACTATGTCCGTCCGTATGTCTGTGTGTGCAAGTAAAACTTGTGCGCACGCTAAATTTCCATGATAATTTTATGAAATTTGGTACACACTATTCTTTTGACACAAGGAAGCCTATTGGAAATTAGCCATGTCCGTCTGTTTGTTTTCCGTCTGTCTGTCTGTTAAAAACACTATAGAGTACAGCAATGAAATTAGATATAAACAAGTTTTTTTGGAACCAAAATATTTTTGACAAAATTTATGAGGATCGGCCGATAATTAACTCTACCCCCATATAAAGATCCCATCAGCATCTTATATAGTATAGCAACCAAATTATACATAAACGTATTGGAACTAAAATGTCGTTGCTTAATTTCGTAAGGATAGGACCGAAATTGACCCTTCCCCCCTTTTAACGCCCCCCTCAGAAAATTATTGTAATGCTCATAACTTGCTTCAAACTGCAAGTAAAGCTACAAACATCGACATAAACCTGTTTTATCGGAACTAAAATCTCTCTGTGAAATTTTATAAGGATCGGTCTATAATTAACCCTACACCCCATATACGACATCCATAACACCAAAAGTGCCAGTATATCAACGATATTCTACATAAATAAGTTTTTATGAGCTTAATTTAAAAAATTCAATAGGCTATTTTGAGTTATATTTATACCCTATAGTGGAGAGGGGTTTGTGCTGATGTCTGTAACGCACAAAAATCTTGGTCATACAGCTAACTTAAAGTATACCTATCGATCGACACTGAAACAATTAACACATGTCATTCTGTCCGGCTGGCTGACTTTCCATGTAAACCTTGTGCATAGGGTACTGACCGCAATTTTCAAAATATGTTCATTAAATTTGGACCATATGTGTTTTTTGGTACAAGGTTGGAACATGTTAGTGAATTATTGAAAACTCTACATTATTTCATCTAACCCCATTCAACCGGACCTTCCGATTTGGGCCTTTTAGCGTCCAACATACTACAATCTCACCAAAAAGACAAACAGACATAGCTGAGGCGATTGGTTTACTTTAAGGATGTAAGATCAATATTTTTGGGTGTTACACACATCATTACAAGTGCATAATAACCTCGCCACTATAGTGGTGTAGGGTATAATTATAGTTAAATTTTATTCTTCGCTTTCATAGAAAAATAGTTAAGGAACAAGATATGCCAGAGGATATTTTGAAGCCAATTCTTGATTCCGAATCAGAGCATCCCAAATCCCTGGGAATATCGATAAGATTTCGCCGATTTAAAAGCAGTCCGAATAATTGTAATGATCAGTCTATATTTAGCAAATACATACATACATATACATATATAAATAGCATAGCTGGTGTAGGGTGACAAACGCGAACTTTCATACTCTTTCTCTTACTTCTAAAATTCTCTTTTCAATTCCAATTTTAACTTTTTTAAATCAAACTCTTTCCAAAATTCTAAAGAGAATCTTAGGACTTTCACGTTCCTAAGAGGGCAAAATGTACGTACTTTCAATAAGAGCAAAGGCACTTAAAGTTAATAAAAGAAGAAAAACAGTTTGTTTAATAAAATGCGTTCTGAATTTTAAAAACCTGAAGTGTGTGTATTTTTCTTCTTTCACTTCTCTAAAGTTAGAGGCAGAGTATATGCAATGAAATCGAGTATCTGTGTGCAGCACACTATTGTAAACGTGCCTGTAACTTAATTACATTGTTGAGGCGATGGTTTATTTTATTTCGTTATTCTTTTCTGGATTCTTCAAGTCATTGTCCATATCCAAATATTATTACCATAGAGGTATAAATGCAAGTTACCTTTGTTATTGACGACAGTTGTTAAGTGATTTCTAGATAGAAGAGTCGTAAGAAAAAAAGGCTGTTAAAGAAAGTAGTATTAAGAAAACGAATAATTATTTTCTTGCCATTACAATGAGTTGGTTTATTAGTAAGAGTGTTTTTTATTTGCAAAATATGTTTTTTTATAATTTTTAATAACATTTTTTTCTATATTTTTAGATGTATTTTTAATATTGATGCCATTACTGGGACACCTTAACGCCAATACCGTAGAGGAAAGAAATCTATTTGCCACCGAACTGTTCCAAACTGTGGCCACACAAAGTCAAAATGAAAATGTTATTATTTCACCAGTGTCCGTGCAAACAGCATTAGGTTTGGTCTATTATGGAGCTTCGGGTCAAACAGCATCTGAACTACAAAAAAGTCTTCATGCTACTGCTCATCAAAGTAAAGACGGTTTAGCCCAGGGCTATCACAAACTATTACATTCATTCATCAAGTCAAAGACAGTGTTGGAAATTGCTAATAAAATTTTTGTCAATGATAAATTGGAAATATCTCCGGAGTTCAAGAGAACTTCTCAAGTTTACTTTGATTCCGATGTCGAGCAATTAGATTTCGCCAATGAAACGTATTCAGTTGATCACATCAATCAATGGTTGGCCGAGAAGACCAATGGCAAGATTGATAATGTTATACAGAGACTGGATCCCGATACAAATGTGGCTCTAATCAATGCCATTTATTTTAAAGCCAAATGGGCACGTCCCTTTATGGATGATGCCACCAGTGATCGTGAGTTTTGGATAAGCAATGAACAGTCCATCAAAGTACCCACCATGTTTGCCGACAATTGGTATTATTATGCTGAATATCCCGACTTGGATGCCAAAGCTTTGGAACTATTTTTTGAGAATATTGATCTTACCATGTGGTTCATATTGCCCAACAAACGTGATGGCCTATTTGAGTTGGAACAAAAACTGAAGGGAGTTAATTTCAATGATCTCGAAGCTCTATGGGAATGGAAGAGTACAAGTGTATATTTGCCAAAATTCAAATTTGAATTTGATACCGACCTTAAACCATCACTGCAGAAGGTATTTTTTTTTTTTGGCGTTTCCTTATTTTCTTTTTCCATTTAAGCATAATATGTTTGTCTTCTATATGTCCGTTTCAGCTTGGCATTAATACCATGTTTTCGAATTCTGCCGATTTTAGTAACATGTTTGATAAACGTGCGCCCAATATGCATATTTCACAGGTACAACACAAGGCCTTCATCGATGTCAATGAAATTGGCTGTGAAGCTGCTGCCGCCAGTGGTAAGCAATGCAGTTTCTTTTAAAAAATTAGAGAAAAACAAATTAGCCATAATCAAACTAATCATTTTTACTATTTTGCATTTTCTCTATGTAATTTATTGCAGTTGCTGTTGGTGTGCCCATGTCATTGCCCATAGATCCTAAAACGTTTGTGGCCGATCATCCATTTGTTTTCATAATACGTGACAAGACTGCTGTCTACTTCGCTGGTCATATTGTTAAACTTTAAGACACTGCCACTTAATGACATTCAAAGTAGTTTCTAAGAATTCATTCTTTATATTATAAGAAGAAAATGCATTACTGCACTCACTCATCATTTAGATGTAAGACCGATTAAAAATTATACAATTATACACGCTCACATGCATAAAATAAATTTTTAATTTGAAAAATGACTTTTATTTGGAAATAATTATTAGTGGAATCGTGTGTTTTAACTTTGTATTGCTTTTATGTCTTATTTAATTAAATAAGTAAAAAGGGAACAGATATTCTCAGCCATATTTTTAATTAATTTTAATTTTTTTAATTAATTATTTCATACATTACTTAGTAATGAGTGATCGTTATCAATAACAATATTGCAATTTGTTAAATAGGATTTGTATCCAATTGCCTGAGAGTATGTCTAAAAAACAAGAAGTTAGTGGTGGTTAAAAAAACATTGATTTATATATTGATGTAAAAATCAATGTTAATGAAGAACTGAGTTAGCGAATAGAATAATAAAAATTATTGGTAACCGGTTATGTTTTGGACCTCGTCGATCAGAAATATGTGGTCATTCATCTAAAAAGTAAGTACTTCCACTTTGATCCAATATCACTCACTGCTTACCGGGTAAGTGAAGTTTTTGTTGTGTTTTTTTATTAGTAAGAAATTATAGTCGGGCGTTGTCAATCATATGATATCCTACTGGATTTATGTATGTTTACATAAAATGATCAAATAAGGCCCTGTTATTACAAAATTCGGCAGGGTCGTCAGCAAGGCTTGTATAAAACGAATTTGTGGTATAGAAATAGAAAAAGACGGAAACAATTCCGTAACTTCTAAACGGTTTCCCCGGTTAAAATGAAATTTTACATGTGTAAAAAGGAAGTGTTGTCGAGTTTAAGTTTTGAATTTGGACCTCATGGGTTCACCAGCGCCGTAGTAAGGGGTCCGCTAAATACGACACCTCGGGTATGTTAAATTTTTAAAACGGTTTAATCGTTTAAGGGCCCTTCAGACGATCACACTTTACGTACGACAAGTCTAATGAAAAAGTAAAATAAAATTCCATCCGTATGACAAAAAAGAGAATAAAAGTCGTATGATTTATATTTTTTGTGTTTACACAATTGGTATAAAAAAATAACAAAGTAAGATGGAAACAGCTGTTTCACTTTTTTTGTATGTGTTTACATAAAAATACATCCCTGATCCCCTGTTTTTTTAATCATTTCAAAAAATGAAGAGAGACATACGACTGTCAAATTTTCCATCCGTATTCTCTCTCAATGTGTGATGATTTCGTTACATCTTGCGTTTAGACGATCCCATCCGTTCTTTTCTACACAAAATTTTGACAGATCATATTACTTGTGTGCTCGTGTGAAGGGGGATTTAGATGTTACAGAATTATTTCCCTTTTTTATTTCTATGCCACTTTTGTTTAGATACGAGAATATTGAACATAATTGTGATGTTAAAAGCCCTTCTAGGGCGATTCAGTTGTAAGGGGACTGGTACAATAAAAGATCAAGTACCTACCAAATTTCATTAAAATTTTGATTTGTAGTTTGATTACAAGTTTACATGAACGAAGGGACGGACATAGCTAAATACTAAATACATACTTTAACGTTTTTAGCACAAACCCAATATACCCTTAATTTTGACTCATCTTTCCGAATATTGACTCCAAAACAAAAATGTTGAGAAATTGTATCTTAGAATGAATCAAGTTTTCATTTTCGATGGAATTATTAGTATCTTATTTTTTCCCTATACAAACGGGTCCACCCTAATATACATATATAAAAAATATTTATTTACTAATTATTAATCTCCCTCGCGAATACAAAGAAGATGTGTATATATATTTTTTATACAACTTACATTGACTACTTTCTCTCATAACTTGACCTGCAAAAATTGATACTCCTTCGCACACGCGTTTTTGGAGTACTCTTTACACTCACAAAACTAATTAACATATATGGTAATAACATACCTCAGTTAACATTGTGATGCATTATATCAGAGTAATACAAAAACTACTCCCTTGCTAAAATTATGGAAGTACATCACATCACATGATTTTTGAGACATCACATCCTAAAATTCGAAAAGAGAATTCAACTTAATTTATAAAAATCATAAAATTCTTCCATCTTATTAATTTTTTGAGACATCTCCGAGACATTAGATAAGGTTAGCACAGGTTGTCAATGTAGCTATACTTCGGTCCAAGTTGATCCCTTTAGTGGGAGTTGGAAGACGCTCCAATTGAATATTCGACAATTAGAATAAATCGCAAAGCAAATTTGGGTTTCTGACAAGTTAGGACAATTACAAGATGACATATAGTCTCTTCTTCATCCTCATTTTGACAACTCCCGCAGAAATCATTGAACGGAAGACCAATGATCCTAGCATGGTTTCCAGATTTACAGTGGCCAGTAACAATCGTTACCAGCTTACCTAGTTGATATTAAGACCTGCATGGATCCATATGGGGCCACAGCGCTCTAGCTATTGAGCAAGTGTATTCACGCGACCATCGGTCACGAGCAATAGATGAGCAGTTTTCAATAATATTTTTCTTTATTGCAAGAAGTGGAACACCGCAGAACTGATCTGTTTCCAATCCGCTAAGCGTGGTACCGTCGAAAATTTCAGAAATATTATGGACATACGTACTCCCGTGTCCTCTGACCCAAATAAGTGTGATGGGCGAATGTATCACCATCTCGTTGAGAGACGTCCGGCATTCATAGACAATTCTAGATATGGAAAACACGCTAATTAGGGATTTAATATCCCTATTAAATATCCAATAATACCTTAGCCAATTCGACGCCAATCTTCGAGACGTTAAGTTTGAATGAAACTCGGTTTCTCGCCATATTTATGTTATTTTCGCTATGAACGCATTTGCTATATATCGCTTTTATATGGCAATTTTCAACACACAACTTGGAGTCGCAATTTTTACATACTACCTGTACCAAGCTTTACCTAATGTCATTCGGAATTATGCGATCTCAGTCAGCAAAAAGCTTTTACGGATAGTTTACCTTAGAATAAATATTTGTGTTTTAAATTATATTTCATAAGTATTACTTGTCATGGCATTTTTGTTTCGACTTACATATGCAACTTGTGTTTCTAATTAAATCTGACTTATTGCCTTTGTACATAAAACTGTATATTGTAGTCGCATAGACATCGATAATGTCTGTAATATATTTTCAATTTAGGGCAAATTTTCAACCTGTCATCAAACTGGAGTTGTATGTATGTAGCGCCACTATGTTTGATCAGACACAGATGCTTTAACTATTCATGAAAATGAATTTACAATTTGGACTGTGTTCAATAAGTATGTATGTATCTATTTATTATACCCACCATCAAAATATAGTATACTGATTTTTTTGTTATGTTTGTAACTTATCAAATTATTAGACCCATAAAAATATATACAAATATGGCGATTTTATGAACCAAGTTTCATAAGATGATACATACATTCCGGTAACTAAGTACAGTTGGATTTGAAGGCTTCGAAACCGAACGATTTTTTTTAGTGATTTTTTGTACATTCTGTTAAGTCTGCACAAAGGGTGCTGGTTTCGATACTATTGAGTGCAATGTATTTTTTGGGTCTTATGTAATATACATCCACCTTTCAACCTTATTAAAAACTTATTTTAAGTATCGGTCCATAATTGAGCCTACCCCAAAAATTAAGATAAAATTTATCAAATAATATTTTTTTTTCAATTAATCATTCCTCCAAATTATGTAAGCTCGTTCCATAATTTACCATAGTACTTTTTTAAAGCAATAAGTCCATATGCGTTAAATAATTCACTATAAATTTGAGGCTCATATAGTGGGTACATAAGGTTCGGCATAGCCGAATATAACACTCTTACTTGTTCTATTACTCATTTTATCTTAAAAGGCATATGGACATTAAATGTCTTGTACATGTTTGCTTTATAGTTTAGACGATTTAAGTAGTTTCCCAATTGATTTCATATTTTATGCTCATACATAATAATTAATGTGTTCACAATTTTGTTTTTGTTTGATTTTCTATAAAATAGTATTAACTTGTCATTCATCATAATCATCGATATACTGGCAATTGTTACAATTTTCAATTGCCTTAAAAGTTGTGTACTCAACTGGATGTCTGAATGACTGGATGGCTATGTATAGAGTTGGATTGTTGTAATGGCGACCACTTAAGTCCTCTGAAAATAAGTATGTATTTGAATTTACTTGATATACCACTAAGTGCAATGGGTTACATAATTATAAGGTTAAAATTACCAAATCTACTCTGTCAAAATTTGTAATACAACAAATAAGGTTCCAGCTCAAGGTATGTCGTTCGAAGATAAATCTATTGCGATAAACATTGATTTAAATTTCATAAGCAGATTAGTAACTCAAAATGAGAAAGTATTTAAGTTTTGCCATTAAATATTTTTGACCTATGGTGCCGTAGTTAGTCAATGTAAATTGCATGAAAAAAGTATATAGCTTCTATAGCTTCACAGAGAAGGTGACTAATGAAATGAAAAGAATTTATTTAACACGTTATTAGACTACTTCTATGTAATCAGGATAATAGGTAGTAGTAAATAAAGGTTAGGTTGATACGAGGATGTATCTACATTAAATCCGAAGAAATACACCTAAGCCAATATTGGGACTGTTGTGAGCTCTTTTCATATTATTATATAACTGTATTGTCGTTCGATGTTCAGAAACACAGTTTCTTCGATGTAAATCCTAAGAATTTTCCAATCAGTGATCGTGAGGGATGTTATATCCGGAATAATATCAATTCCAAGATATTTTGATTTAATTTCGGCGAAAGCCTGACAATGGTAAAGAAAGTTGTAGAGGCTCTACATTTGTATAAACCCGAATTCAATTTTGTATAGGTGTGCTGGTAATCCTGTGTGCCCACTCAGAATAAGTACCATCTTACTAACCTCAGACTTGTTCAGTTTGTGGAGGCTTCTCGTCTGCTCTCGTTAGGGTTACCCTATAGGATCTTGTGGTTTTATTATTCCAAAAGTCCTTATGGGTTTCCCTCACCCATAATTTTAATACTGTCCTCGTTGCGTCAAATGGTTTTGCGTTCGTCAGGTTAAC